TTTTCGAGAATATCGAGCTGTTTCTTTGCAAAACGATCGAGACACGCGTTGCTATCGGAAAGACGAGACCGATTTAACCAGGCAACGGGGCGAAACGCGAGAAAACGTGTGTCGGAGTCGCTATACGAGTTCCAAGGCGAAGGAACGAACAAATGGTTGCGTTAATTCGAGCACGATCGAGCCGCGTCTCGCATGATACAGGCAAGCTGGATTTACGCTACGTTACGATTCACCGCTCGCGTACTAGCGAACGGAATCGTGCAACATCTCGCCAGGATGAAACTGGTTTTCTAGTCATTACTCTTCGCTATCCGCCGCGTTTCCACGCGAACGCCAGACCCAAGTCAAGTATACGCGCGTATCCTGGCGAACCTACGAAATTTTAAACGCCTTTATAAATTCCGCGCCGCTGCAATCGAGTCGGAATAGAAAACGATGCAATTGGTAATCCGAAGGGAAGAATAGAAAAGGGAAAGTAGCAGCCGTCCTAGAAATTTCGAGAGGGGTTAAGTAGGTTTGGGGATGCGAGAATAAAGGAAAGCAAGAAACGGACGGGTAAGGAGGGAGGAGGTGAGGATGAACGCGAATGCAAAGTGGTGATGCGGGGCGCGAGTAAAACCCACTTAACCCGTTCTTTGCCGCGTCAAAGAGACGCTCGTTCTCGTTCGCGTCGATCCGTCGAGCCGAAAATGGCATTACTCTCGCATTGGAGAAAGCAATCTCGGCAGCGTGGCGTGAGAAAAAGATCATTCCTGGCTGGTTAAATATTCCGAAACGCCAACGACGTCCGTTTCTCCGGCGTTATTTTCCTCGCGAGCCATCTTTTTCAGCAGGCCGAAGGCTAGGGTAAGGGCGAGGGCGAGTAACCCTTTGTTCCCGCGGCAAAGTATCTTCGCGACGATTACGTATCTAGCTACGGCTTTGACAACTACCGGAAACGAGACGGGGCCGGGGGAAGCGAGTGAAATTGGCGTCTACGAAACGCCTGGCGATAAACTCGATTTCACCCGACTATCCCGACCACCGAGAGATACGAGTTCCGCTTCGCTCGCGGCTCGATTAGAAACGCGGTGCCGTGGATTTATTATCGTCGAGGCAGCGAACGGGTTTCGAAAACGCGGACGAAAGAAAAAGGGAAGGACGAAACGAGCGGAGGGGCTGCTCGCGACCAAAGAGGGAAGAACGGGGGCGAGGGTGAAGAACGATGGGAAAGAGGAAGAGGTCGCGGAGGAACGGAGAATGGTTGTAGAGCGCGCTGGAGGCGAGGCCTGACATTTGGTTACTGACATTTTCACCCCGGGGTTGACGGCGGGCAACCCTTTGGCGTTACCCGCGCTCAATCACTCCATTGTCTCGAGCGGCGCTCGTTTTATACTCGCGTCAACGCTTCATTATGGGGCCCCGGGTCCGGTCGACTTGGCTTCTATAGCCCACGTGCTCGGCACATTGTCTATCCCAAGAATATATTACGCGCCCACGCGATCGCGACCAGCCTATCGTCTCGCACACCACGCGCCGCCACGTCTACCGTTTCCAGATTCCGCCTGCGGAGAATTCCTGCGATCCCGTGAAACGCGCCAACGCTTCGAGGAACCGTCGCTTTCAGTGTCTCCTTCGACGTACAAACGGGAGAGAAAAAATATTTTTTCCCGAAAAAAAAGTAGTTAAAAAGTAAGAAGCAGAGGGTGATCGGAACGATCCTGTATAGGGGATAGGACGGGCAACACGAACTACGCGAACGTGGCAATTAATTACAGCGTAAAGTCGCGCGCTCGTATTCGATTAATTACCACGGCTGCCGCGCGATCGGCGTCCGCATAATTGACATTGTTGCCACATTGTTTACACTGGCCAGTGAATTTATCGATAGATCGCCGGTAGGAGGAGGTCGCGGTCCCCGTTGTTCTCTCGCTTTCCCGAATATTCGCGTTTCCCCGGAGCTGACAAATGGCACCGCTCCGCCTTTTCTCCCGATGGTCTCGCGTTTTCCAGCGAAAGAAGACGGTTTCAACCAGCTCGCTTTATTTTCGCAGGTAGATCGAAGCAGGTCCGCTTCCGCTTCCTCTTCCCTGACCGTTCCCGCGAAACGGAAGAATAGACGGACAACAGTGGGTCGAGAGCGGTTTCGAGCCGACTCTCTTCTCCCCGCGATTCCGGTCGTTCCTTCCTCGGAACTCGCGTGGACGGAGGCGCGCGCGAGCATATAACACCCTGGACCGGTTTCCAGAGCAGCCGCGGGGGCTAAATGTCAACAACGGCGTAACGGCCCGGTTTAGAGGATTACCCCCGGTGTTGTTCGGCCATCGAGGGCGAACGCCAGACAAAAGGTCGCGAACTTTCCGCGCGTCATAATCCGTCTGAGAGGGTTCGCTCGCGGCTTCTCCTCCTTTCGTGCCAGCGTACTTCGATTCGACTCGCGACCTGCCACGATGCGCTTCGAAATTCCGACCGCGTATAGGGGTTGCGCGGCAGCGACCGGTGTCAAGGTACGGGGGGCAAAGGTAACCCCGAATGCCCTAATGGGATCGGCATCGGTGTCGTTAACATGACAATACGGATCCTAAACGCTTACATACGCGGAGATGTGTAGCGCAGAGTTCTAAGTAGCAGCCACCAGGCTTGAAGAGGAGGCACGTAGGTCGATTAAATGCGTGTCGCGTTCGCCCGATGCGTACGTACGATAGGGTCGAGCCATCTTGTCTCCAAATACCAGCCTTGTTATGATAATCGTTCCTCGCGCCCCCGTCGCTCTGTGTACAAACCTTCTGCTCGCACCCATTATGCCTTTCTACCTTTTCCCTTTCTTCTCTCCCCTCTGTCTCTTGCCGCGAACCTAACGTTTCCTACGCTTAACCTTTCCGTCGGTAGACCAACGTTATCGACGACGCGTGTACCCCAGTTGGCCAGAGACTTCGCGAAACGACAAAGTTTAACGACAGCTTCGTTTCTGCAGCGAATAAATTCGCGAAGCTGTCCGTCGACTACGACCATGATCGTTATCCGTAACGTCGTCCAGGAGGAAGTTTCAGGCGCCATCGAGCGCATCAAACTCGTAATTACCGTCGGTAAATCGCTTTCACCGAGTAACGTTCCTTCGATCCAAGATAGCCGGGTAATTAAAACGCGTAATCGTAAGAAAAGAGCGGAAATACGCGACAGGGAATAGATATTTATAAAAGCGTATTTCGAGACGCGATCGATACGCGTTCTTTTTCCGACCGTCTAACAAAGCACCCTATATTACGTTCGGCTTACGTACCTCGTCCTCGCGATAATCCCTCCGCGGTTTTCTAGCTATTCTCCTCGCGAGCCAACAACGTCTCGAGGAGCTTTCTCCGCGGAGCAATTACGCGACACCGAGGCGACCGAGTTCGAGCGGAAACGTTGACCGAAATCTTTGGCCGGGAAAGACCCGTGTTCGCGTGCACCTTCGAATGTATGCGCGTACAAATAAGGCAGCCTCTAGTCGTAGAGACAAATGACGCGGCAAGGGAGAGAGAGAGAGAGGGATCGAAGAGGCTCGACACAAAGCATCCCCCGAACACCCTTTCCGAGTCGGAGGTGACGTCACTGACAATGGAAGGTCGAGCTGTGATTAAAGATCGAGAGACTCCGTAAAAACTCCTTGAAAAGTGTAGGAACGAAGGAGAGAGCGGGAGGACAGGCGGACCTACCGGCGTGAAATATTGCCTCCGCGGCACCCGACAGCTATATGACGTTTCCGAAGGGCATGAAAGAATCCTCGCCACTCTCTCTATTTCTCTTTCTCTCTCGAATCTCTCGAATCTCTCGCTTTTTCGTCTCGATCGCTTCTTCTTTCCAGTTTCTCCGTCCTACCTCTCGGCCTGTCTTCTTAACCCACCTTCTACCCACCCCTTTCGTCGTCGTACGTTGGAACGATCAATTTCTTCGACGCGTTCAGCCTCGTCCTTCGACGCGAACGCGATCAACGGAGCGAGACGGATCGCAGGCCGATTAAGAGAGAAAGAGAGACACGGGAGTTTAAAATCGGTCAATTTAGAGAGCGAGGCTGGTCAACGAGGCGCCAGGGTATTTAGACGGTTAACGGGCGCGAAGAAGCATACCGAGAGGGAGAGGCGAACGGGATAGGAGAAATCGTGATCGTGTTTCGGAGGAGGAAAGGGGTGAAGGCGCGGAGACGCCACTCAACGGCATTATTCGAATTGATGCGGTGAATTGGCGCTGACGACATCGGGAGAGCCAATCCGACCGTTTGTTTATTGGTCGAGCGTTGGCGGATTCCTCGCGGTATGCTTCAATTAAACGGATTCTCGACGCAGCCGAAACGGAGCCGATCTTGGCTTCGCGATCAAAGCGATCGCCGTGTGCGCTTAATGGCCTATTACACGTACGTGTGGAAACAACGCTATTTGCATGCCGTAACGGGCAGGGCTGTTGGATGGCGCGAAGGGTTGAGGGGAAAGTTATCCGAAAAGTAAGAGGTTTCGTTGCACGATTTCGCACCTTTTAAACACGCGTCTCGCTCGAATCGATTTCGCGATACTTTCGCCGATGTTACGAAAAAAGCAACCGAACTGTACCTTCGAACGGGTTAGTCGTTCGGAGGCTGTGGATTTTCGAAGGGAAAGAAAACAATGGTGGCGCGTAAAACGCGAAAGCGAAAGGTTTCGCGCGCGCAAACGGGGGATGCGAGGTGGCGGCACGGGGTGGTATCCGAGGGACAGAGCCGCGTGATTAGTCCGACGTTTGCGCGGGCTACGTCTCTCTAGTTGGCACGCATTCCAACCGCTCCCCTGGCTCTCATTTCTCCGCTGCGTGTCTACTCGCCCGAGGCTGATTTTCCCCGCGAATCAGTTCCTCCCTTAAAACGTTCCCCAGCCACAGCTCGAACCAACTCCGAAATTCGCAGATTTTTTCTTTTTTTTCCCTCCGTCGTCGTAGCCGTACAGACTGTTCGTTCCTTTTCTCTAGGGATCGATCTAATTGTATCTAATTGAAATTGGTTCGTTATGTTTCAGACGCTTGCGGATTGTCGGACGTGGCGCACATCGAGTCGCTTCAGGAAAAATCTCAGTGCGCACTGGAGGAATACTGCAGGACACAGTACCCGAATCAACCTACGAGGTTCGGCAAGCTTTTGCTTAGATTGCCGTCGCTTAGAACGGTGTCGTCCCAAGTGATCGAGCAGCTGTTCTTCGTACGGCTTGTCGGGAAAACGCCGATCGAGACGCTGATCAGGGACATGCTGTTGAGCGGTAGCAGCTTCAACTGGCCGTACATGTCCACGATGTGACATTCTGTCTGGCGACAGCTAGCTTCCGCCTAATACTGTCGCTCGCTTCCCGTCTCGTCTCGCGATCCGGAGCCAGCGATCGTTCAAACCACCGGCCAATTTCCCTCCACGCCCCACGGTTTCTAACCGTTTCGGAAGCTTTCGTACTTGGACGTGTATCGTTCGAAGATGAGAAACAACATCTGAAAGCCGACGATGGTGGATGGTCGAGGAAGGTAAAGAGAAAAGTGGGCGGCGGGTGCGTGCGCGTTACGAGGGAAGCCAGCTCGAAAGAAAGGGAGGGCGGAGAAAAGGAGAGACACGATAAAGACGTTACTCGAACGAAGAATCGAAGGCGCCGACTGGCTGTTCGAGCAGCACGGCCAGAAAGCGTTTAAAGTTTCTTTTGTGAGCGCGGCCCGATCGAGCCGATCGCATCGGATCGATCGAGAATAGATAAGGACTACGTTCGCGTCGCCTGCTGAACCCGCATCCGCGACATTCTAATTTCTAAGGACGCGTCCCGAACGATCCGAATAGCCGCAACCCTTCGACGGACGGAGAAGGATAGCTGGTTAGCGATAGTAACTTGCCGTGGCGTGGCGTGGCGTGGCGTGGCGTGGCGTGGCATGGCATGGCGTGGCGCGAAGAAATCATAAATTAGCATTTGTAATCGACGGCGGGGGATCTGGTAGATCCTCGCTCGGTATCTCGCATCGATCTTCGCGTCGAGTAATTGCCGTTAGTCCAGTCATGCCGAAGCCCTTAGTCATTCGTTTCGACGTTTCGTTCTCCCCGTTCGTTGCCTCGTTCCCACCAATTCTCCCAACGATTCCACTATCCTTCTCTTTTTTCCTGCTCGCGAAAAACAGTTCGCTTTCGATCTCCACTCGCCTTCTGTCCACAGCGTCTACTCGCGAGCACGTTTCGCGCTGACACCGTAAAATCGCACTTTTTATCGAACCTTCAAACTTTTTCTCTTTATTTTACCTCTCTCTCTCTCTCTCTGAACGTTGCCTCGCCGAGAAAACTTTTTACCTTCTTTTACGCTTCGAGTTGCGTCAAAGTTCTTCAATTTTTAACGTTTTCGGTCAATTTTTCGATTACACGGAACGAGGAAACGATAGCTGGGAGAAGAAAAAGGGAGCTGATTTCAGTGAGGGCAACCGCGCGTACGAAAGGTATAGGAACTCCGAGAAACGTCGAGCGGAACGTAACGGTTCAGCTGCGAGGATATTATTTATCGTTCGTCCGGGGTGTGCGGAGCTTCCGGATTTTAATCCCGCTAATAGCCTTTGCCCCGGCTATCCAGTTTAAGTTTGCGATCACCCCCGATTTACCGATTAGCGTGATTTAAAAAAATGCGTCGATGCGCGTTGTCTCGCAAAACCTTCTCCTTCCATCGTAGATTTGCGAAACTTTTAGCGACACCGTGTTCAGTTTGGCGGAAAAGCGAATAATAATTAAAGCGAGAAAGCGAAAGGGTTGGTCGGTGACTAAACGAGCACCCGCGGACAAATATATTTTTCTTCCGGATGCGTTCGACGGTGATGGTCGTTTGGTTTCCGGCGAACTTTGCGGTCCATCGAATGGCAAGTTGAGAAAATCCGCGGGGAAAGGATCGCGAGGATATTCGACAAACGCAATGTGATATACACGTGTACGTGGAAAATTAGAATTCGAATGTTTTTTCGAGAGACGGTGCTTCTTTTTTTAACGAGTTTATAAATAGTGTACGATACCTGGATGCGATGCGAACGATGCGCGTATCGTTCGAGCGAAACGAGACATTTTCAAATGTACTGCGTTACGTTAAATGTGGCAATGTCGAGCTAGTTACTTAGAGAACCACTTAGGGGTATATGGGATATTTCTAATATTTTTAACCAGCGATCGTTTCTTAAAAGCGACCCGCGAGCGCGTACAGACACACCGATACACACCGACACATACACATAGGAAACGCGGACCGTCTCGATCGGACGCGATCCAAAACGGGGATGAAAATGTTTTCGAGTTCGGATTCCGTTCGAGACGCGTACGCGTCGCGAAACGCTCGCGAGTGCTCGTCAAACTGAACAATTGTATTATATGTATACCGACACACGACCGTTGCGTTACGACCGTTGAATGTACGTAGGCCGAAAAAGACATCTATATAAAGTTATGTATAAAGACGCGAGAACCTTTTTGTATAAAACGTGTACATAATTAATATATGCATATACATATATATATATATAAATATATATATATATATATATAAATACAAATATAAATACGATTACAAACACTTTGAAATCAGCTACCAACTAAACGCCACACCGATCACAGGGATGAATCGAGGATCAACCACGTAAGTACCCTTTAAGAATGTTCTATAAAAGATTCTTAAACACAAATTTCAATTTTAATTTATTTTCAGGATAGCACCCTTGGGTGTATTCAATATTTTCGTTATCTTGAACGATATATCGTCGAAACACTTTGCCTTGGAGGATCACGAAATTCTTCAAAGCTATTCGAAAGAATTAGAAACAGTCTGGTGTCAGGGTTGATCTTGTTTTATCAAGCAACAGTTGCCTCGGTCGTTAGCGGGCAAGTGGCGTGGCTCGGAAAGATCGCACAGAGGCCCTGCGTTTCAGAGCATTCCTGCACGAGCGTATTTCAATATAAACAATCGCCGAGCGAATTTTCCCTGACGCACGGCAGTGATTTCTGGCCGACGTGACGGCGATGCCTCCGTCTGCGAGCTCGACCCCGGCTGCCCTCGCTCGAGGAACGCGACTCGTTTCGATTCTTCTTTAACCTCTCCCCTTGTTGCCTGCCTGCCTGCCTGCCTGCCTGCCTGCCAGCCTGCCTGCTTGCGAGCCTGCCTGCTTGCGAGCCTGCCTTTTGCCTGCCAGTCTTCCTGCTCGTTCGCCTGCTTCGCCTTGCCCTTCGTTCCTTTCTTTTTCTTTTCCCTTCCTGCCTGCCTTCCTTTTTCCCCCTTTCATCGGGTTTACTCGAAGATTTTCCATAAACTCACCACCCCGTTACCATGAACTGATCGATCGCGATTCGAATCGATTCGGCAGCCGTTCGGTGGTGAAGTTTCTCGGTGTTCTTTTTTCTTTTTTCCTTAGGAACCGCGAGTGTTTCGAGAGCGCCGCATAAAAGGCGGATAAATCACGCGAAAGGGTGGAGGGAGGCAAAAAGCGTGGCTGGATCGCGAGAGAGCTGCAGCGTGCCGAACGGACAGCTCCGAGAGCCAGCCGGATGCTTAGAATTTCGATAAATCTAACTTGGCAGGAGAAACAAACGGGCGCGGAAGGGAGGCAGGCTTTTTTCGAACGGATAACCTCGCGCTTTGGCTCGCGTTCAAAAATTCTGCTTCTTCTTTTCTGAACGGTCGGTAAACGTCGGCTGAAACGGCCGAACCGAGATCGAGATCGAGATCGAACGGATCTACGGATGGAACGCGGCGTTATCGGCATGCTCTTTCGTGCGAACGATCAACGGTGAAAAGCCGCTTCCGGAGCGGAAAGTTTGCGGTCTCTCGGATGAATCTCGAGCACCAGTTCGAGTTTCATTGTGGATAGAGATAGGTAGAGATAGAGAGAAATTTTGGAGCGCATCCAGCGTGGCTCCAGCACTCGGGATCGCTGAATTTCGCTAAATCGTCCTCTGGAAAAATTCCGAATTTATCGAATTTATCAAATTTTCATGCAACCAGTCGTATGTATTTATGATTGTACGATTTCGCAAAATTAATCGTTTGACTCGGACATTTCCCACAGCGATGGACGTGCAAATATTTGCCATGTTAACCAACGATGGTGCATTAATTTCGTCTCGTTTCCAATAGCAATATGTAATATTTGTGGTACTAAATGTTCGGCTAGATAACAGAAATTCGATCGTCCTCCTCGATTGCATCACCTTTCGTTACCATCGATCGTCGATCGTCGAGCGAGCGACGATTCGAGTAAACAACCGTCGCGTCGTATTTCCCCGTCTTCTGTAATCATGTTCGGCGACGATAACCAGCGTTGGAAAACAACGATTGCGTCGCGGCGCGGCGTCACGTTCCGCGAAATTGGAACGAGAAACTGAACGAGGCAGGCATCCGGCGCGAGGCTTTACCTCTCCTCGATCTAGCTCGATTAACCGATTCTTCGAGCGTGGTCGACGAGTCGCGTGGAGACGCGCGCGGCCGACCCTTTCAATTCCTCGGCGATCAAAGGAAACGCGCCCCGGTAATCCGACTTCCGTGTCTTCCGTTCCTTGATGAAGTAATGCGCGTTCGTTGGCTTTCAATTGGTATTCGCGACCCACGCGTTGACTGCGACGTCTTCTGTTCGCGGAACAAACGTCCCCGCTGGAACGAACCCGGTTTCAGCAATCCGTCTAAAAGTCGCGAAAGGGTTTCTTCCTACGAAACCAGAGCATCCTTCTACGTGTGTTTTTAAATAACGTAGAAACGCGGGTGTAAACGCGTAAACGAGAGGCGGAGCGACGGTCCCGAAAGAGGTCAGAGGGCATCGCCAATCGCACTCTACTGATAATCATTCTCTTGCCCGCTAATCGCTCGTTCTTCCTCTCTGGACGCGGTTTGGCTGTCGAACGCGGATAATCGCGGATCCGCGATCACCGGATACGAACCGTTTCCGCGTACGAAATCGAAGCTGCTTTGGAAATCTAGAACTATTCGTCACCAGGATCGATCCAATTACATTTTCCGACTCCTCGTTTCTTCAGCCTCGCGACGAACGACGCGTCACGAGGCTCGCATAATCGCTCCATTTGTACGCGTCGCATTTTCGCAAGCCGACCGACTTAACAGGCTTTTCGTATCGAACCTTTCTTTCCTTTCGTTGGTTATCCGCTTTTAGCAGATACCGCGATTTTTAATTCTCCTCCTCTTTTTCCTTTTTTTTTTTCATTACTCGATTCTTCGATTTTCGTATTTAATATATAGTAACACGTGGGTGAGTTGTTTCGCTTTATACACATTTCCCAATGGAGGTAATTGAGAACGAATTTCAATTAATCAATTTATTCGTCATAGCGCTTTCGCAGTTCAATTAAAACGAAACATGTATGATTTGTACTATACATTAGTTAAATCAAATGCGCGACTAAGCGAGACTCGATAGTCGATACTCGAACATCTACATCGTAACTGGTAGCGCCACCAGTTGATTATTTTTCAGAGCTCGAGACTTACGACAGTGACTACAGATGCACAAGAAGACTGGATATGCCTTATAGCTTCCCTTATAGCCCTGGATAACACAAATCACTTTATTCCCTCAGTCATGTTGTGAGCCGAAACTTTTTAGTAATTTTTTATAATAAACAGATTTTGCGATAACTGATAACTGTAATTGATTGGAAATCGTTTGTGATTTACAAATATATCATTTTCATTGTTTGTGAGTGATTAATTTCTTAATTATCTACAAGTTTGCTTTATAATAAATAATTGTAGTGCGCATGCGCAAAATATACTCAGGACTATTGCCAACAGAGAGCGTATCGGCGCGATACGTATAGCGGAAATCGTTTAAATTTTCTATGTTTCATATTCTTTGGGAAAAAGTTCTTTTAATTTTTTGGAGCAACTGTCATCCCTACATTCTCTTCAGCCCTACATTCTTTTCATCCCTACATACTCTTCAGCCCCACATTCTTTTCATCCATTCATTCTTTCCATCCCTACATTCCTTACATCGCTTCATCCCTTATATCTCTACTTTCCTTACATCTCTTTATCCCTTACATCCCTGCATTCTTTTCATCACTACATCCCTTACATCTCTTCATCCTTTACATCTCTGCATCCTTTACATCTCTGCATTCCTCACATTCCCGCCTCCTCTATATTCCAACATCCCTTACATCCCTACATTCCTTACATCGCTTCATCCCTTATATCTCAACTTTCCTTACATCTCTTTATCCCTTACATCCCTGCATCCTTTACATCCTTGTATCACTTAATATTCCTGCATTCCATACATCCCAGAACCTCCCTGAAATTAAATTGAAATTTTTGAAATTTTATACAAATTTAGTTCCCTTTTTCGCCGCCAGAGGGCGCTGATTCGACATAGAAATTTTAGTTCACATTTTTGCCGCTAGGGGGCCAGAAATTGAGCAAGGTTTAGTTCCTTTTTTCGCCACCAGAGGGCGCTGTTTCGACGTCGAAATTTTAGTTCACATTTTTGCCGCCAGAGGGACAGAAATCGATTGAGGTTTAGTTCCTTTTTTCGTCCCCAGAGGGCGCTGATTCGACATCGAAATTTTAGTTCACATTTTTGCCGCCAGAGGGCCAGAAATCGATCAAGGTTTAGTTCCTTTTTTCGTCCCCAGAGGGCGCTGATTCGATGTCGAATCAGCGCCCTCTGGGGACGAAAAAAGGAATTAAACCATGCCAAAATTTTGGCCCTCTAGCGGCAAAAATGTGAACTAAATTATCGACGTCGAATCAGCGCCCTCTGGCGGTGAAAAAAGGAACTAAATTTTGCAAAAATTTAAATTTAAAATTATTTTTCACAAGACTTTACTTACCTTTACCTACCTTTACTTACCTTTACTCGAAGCAGTCTTTATAATATATTTATTATAAGGGATGCAGAGATGTAAGGAATGTAGGGATGAAAAGAATGTAAGGATGTAAGGGATGAGGTGATATAAGGAATGTAGGGATGAGAAGAATGTAAGGATGTAAGGAATGTAGGGATGAAAAGAATGTAGGGATGAGAGGAATGTAGGGTTGAAATGAATGTAGGGATGAAAAGAATGCAGGGATGTAAGGGATGCAGAGGTGTAGCGAAACGAGGGATGTAGCGGAATTCCGTGGGGTCCGGGGCTGGGGCCCCGGTCTCCACTGCACGCGGCCGGAAGAGTGCCGGCATCGGGTGTGGCCCCCGATGTCGGCGGAGTTTGGCACATGTTGGAGGGTCAAAGGACCCATCCTAACACCCTATTGCAGGCCACCGTGGTGGTTTTAGTGGGTAAAAATCCCACACTACCTCTGGCCCCTCCCCAGGGGGCCTGATGGTGTCTTTTTGAAGATTTCCACCACGTTAAAAAAAAAAAAAAAAAAAAAGGGGGGGTATTTAAGGGTTGCAGGAACGTAAGGAATGCTGGGATGGAAGGAATGCAGGGATGCAAGGGATACTGAGATTGCCTTGGCCTAAAATGAGGGATAAAATTATATAAATAACTTGAAAAAGTAAAATAAATAGGGTCCTCGGCTGAGACCCAGAAGAAGGATATAATCATAAATGTTATTCCCCTTCGATGAGCTTATTTAATAAGCAAAAAAAAATACAAGAAATAAATTAAATAAACCTAGGAAAAAAATTATACTGGTTGTGCCCCTTCTTACGCACCTGATGTTCTACAGGGGTGTTAGGGACCCCACTGGGCCAATAATGTCCTATGTGTACAGACCTGATATCATATTGGGGTGTTAAGGACCCCGAAACGCCGGTGACTATCTTTCCATACCAATAATATAGCATCCGGGGTGCCAGGGACCCCGAAGCACCAATGACTATCTCTGCATGACGACATGATATCATCTTGGGGTGTCAGGAACCCCAAACACCGGTGACACTGTTTGCATACCGACATTTTGGTATCCGGGGTGTCAGGGACCCCTAAGCACCAATGACACTCTTTGCTTACCGACAGGATGGCATTCGGGGTATCTGAGACCCCGAGGTACCGACGACGCTGCATAGATATTATGCCACCGGGGTTTCAGGGACCCCGAAGCAAATAGCGAAATATAAGAACGGAAAACGAACAAATCGTGAAACTTTCTTGTTCGGAATAGTGATGGGTTTGAGCGGATCTAGCGAAATATAAGAACGGAAAACGAACAAATCGTGAAACTCTCTTGTTCGGAATAGTGATGGGTTTGAGCGGATCTAGCGAAATATAAGAACGGAAAACAAACAAATCGCGAAACTTACTTGTTCGGAATAGTGATGGGTTTGAGCGTATCTAGCGAAATATAAGAACGAAAAACGAACAAATCGTGAAACTGACTTGTTCGAGGTAGTAATGGGTACGACCGGATCTGTAACGCATGCTCACTACAATTATTTATTATAAAACAAACTTGTACATAATTAAGAGACTAATCACTCACAAACAATGAATATGATATATTTGTAAATCACAAAATCTGTTTATTATAAAAAATTACAAAAAAGTTTCGGCTTACATCATTATTGAAACGAAATTGCTAATTACAAACGAACTAATTTGTCATTAACGTTAAAGATAGACTCACAATGAATCCCAAACGATTTACAAACGGAATACACTAAGAAAAATTAAAAATAATCATATTTAAATATTCCTTTCGGCTGGCTTCATGTAGGTCGACCTGATATCCTCTTGGGGTGTTAGGGACCCCGAAGAATCGATAAAACTCTGCATACTGACATTATGGCATCCGGGGTGTCAGGGACCCCGAAGCGCCACTAACGCTTCCTTGACACCGACCCGATATCATCTTGGGGTGTTAGGAACCCCAAAGAGGTAATGCTCTTTACATACCGACATGGCATCCGGGGTATCAGGGACCCCGATACACGGGTGACGCTCCATGAATATCGACATTATGGCATCCGGGGTCTCAAGGACCCCTTTTAGCTAATATGTGGGACCAATAGACTTCCTATAAAAATATTAGAATCTCTTTGCACTTTATATATATAAGATAACTGAGAAATGAGGTTAAATACATTGAATAACTAAAATGATAGAAGAATGTAAGTCAATTAAATAAATAGCTGAGAAAAGAAATTACTAGCATTAAATAAATAACTCAGAAATGAAATTGATTAAATTAAATAATAATTCAGTTGCTTTTTTTAAATGATTTATTTATCGAAGTGCATTTACGTCTGTCAAACCTAATGCCAAGTCTTTACCCTTAAAGAGTCGATAAATTCCCTGAACAGCTTACGCGATACTCCGATAGATGGCGCTAGTATGGCCTGAAAATATCGATCTATTATTTGGTTAATAGTTTGAGCCGTTTTTGTATAGATGGCGCTACAGGTTTACAATAAAATTAAACAATTATCTTTTTCATAAAATATGCGACTTTGCATTTCATTAACACTAATAAAATATTCTGCAATCAAGCATTATAAATAAGATTTAAAGAAGAAAATTGCATTACACTGTCGAAAAGTAAAATAAAAAACAATTTATTAACGACAATCGCTATAATTACAATATTGTATATCGCATGTGAAAAGCAATATTTCACTTTATACATCGTGTTTCTTTATCTTTTTTCCTTCTATTACTCGACGATAATTCTTTTAATCGAATCACAAGCTTACTATAAATTATCCGAACGCTCTCGTCAACTCGCTTTCGCGTTCGTCTCGTTCTTGGTCCGAAAAATAAAACCGCATCGCCAAGCAGAGTGATAAAGAGAATCGATCGTTTCGATCCATGGTCCTCGAAAATCCACAAGACAATAAATCGAAGCGAATTAAACGCGTCGACACCGGCAACGATCAAAGACAACAGCTACAACAGCGACGATGCTAATGAGAAAGATAGAAAGTGCGAAGAGGGATAATTTAATAAGCGATACTAACGACTCTAATTAAAAATCATAAGGATACGCACAAGACTGGCCACGAGTAAAGCATTGGAGTCAGACGCTTTGCCTCGAAATGTTTCTACAATCCTAGATCGAACAATTTCGTAAAAATTCGTTTTACGAGAGCAGAGCAAACGCGGAGCGAGAAGACAAGAGATGGAGCGACGGAGCGTTTAACCCTTTCGGCCGCGGTCGATTAAAAATCGGTGGCTCTGATCGATGGGGCCTCTTAGGTCGTTCGCAGCGAAAGGGTTAAAGTATCTAAATAGTGGTGAATGGTGGGATTTACTCGATAAAATCTACTTAACCGGCCAATCGATGTTGGACAGAATCTAGACCAGAGGATGCTGTGCGAACCTAGAAAAATCGACACGGACTTTTTGGAAACGATCGAGTTCCTTCGCCTCGTTTACTTTCGCTCGCTCGCCAAGTATCTTCAGCCGATCGAATATAGCGACGACTAATATTTAACGGGGAACGACTAACGCCTATCTTGTTGCGCCGTATAGCGAGTAAAACACGCACACTTACCAACAATACATTTTCTTCTAAATTCGAAAACCGTATTCGATCGATCAGACGTCGAGAATACGATCGCTAGCAAGCAATCGATGGCCGATCAACGCGTTCGCTATCAAACCTCTTTCGCTTCCCTTCGATGCAGAATGATTGGTAATTATTTCCATTTTAATCGGGTTAATAGCGAACGCGTTTAACAGCTTTTACAGCGTTGTTCGAAGCAATTTCAAGCAAACTGTACCTTCGCGCGGACAATGCAAACGAATTCCTTCCTCTTTGCTCCGAATAATTAATTAGCGAATGTCACGCGTCGTTACGACTCGACTGGCTCTCGTAATATGTACAATATACACCGACGACGAATATCGTATAATCTAGCGGAGTTTCTTTCGGAATACGTTTACAGAGAATCGTTAGAAATAAGTTATACATCGAGTCACCTTCGGTGTTCACTTTCGATCGCTTGAAAATCTCACTTTTTAATTAGACACTTTTCCAAGCTGTCCGCGTCGCATCTTTAACGCGCGTCCAGGGCACCGAAAAGACTTGCTTGGCTGCATCGAAGGCATCTCGTGGCTATTGTTTTAGTTTATTTAAAATTCTCTTTTTCTTTTTTTAAATAAATAAATAAATCGCGATCACTTCCGTTCATTTACTTAGCAGCATTGGACGTTAGAGCATCTGTACTAGATAGTAACGGGTTACTAAGATTATTAATCTTTCTCTCCCTCACACTCATTCTGTCTCATCAACTCACGCTTCTGTCAACTTTCGTCTCCTTTTTCATTTGTCACCCATCCATTCCGTTCTCTTCACCCCCTTCTCGCATACGTATTTCTCCATCGTCCACTTTGTCTCAATCGATGCAGAAAATAGTTTCGCCTTTATCGTTGAACCTTTTTATCTCGTTTAAAAACCGTCGACTTAAATCGTACTCTGTAAATCTAAACGCTCTGTGTCGTACAATTATATATCGAAATCTGTTTTAATTTACACGGCGAAAGGGTGGTCGCGGTTCGAGCACGAAGAACACGGAGTTCGAAACAGTTTGTGTGTTAAACATTGCCAGGATATACTCGTGAAAATATCTTTACGATCTTGTAAAATTGAAGGATCGAACGTCGAGAGGAAAAATAACGAAACTCCGTGGTTCGTGCTCGACGCTGGAAGTACTCGCGAACGAAGCCGTACGAAACTAATTCTTTTATTAAATATATGTGTACGAGTATGTTGTGTAGCAACGTTTCGCAATGATCGTTAACGGAGACACATCGGGTCCGTAGGAGGAAGGTGTGTAAAAGTTAGTGAGGAGTAGTCGGAACGCGGATAAGTCTCTAGCTACCTCTGGCGCGTTACTTTATACCTTTATCTAGCCCTTCATTTTTATCATTAGTACTATCACTACCGTGGTGCCCTGGTTGTTAGTCAACTACAGAATGTAAACGCTAACTATCGTCCACAGTGTTGTATTCGAAATAAAAATTACATACGATGCGCGACACACTCATTTATTCTTCCCTTCGTGCGTAGGAAAATTTTTGCGTGAATCCAGTCGTTGCTGGGCATTAATGATTCGATTTAAATGAATCGGATGCGAATTAATTGGTCCGTTGTTCGAACGAAACACGGTGTAAGAAAACGTGTTGAAAATGCAGGATAAATGATTGTAGTTTTTGGTGTAACATCGTAACAAGGATCAAATTCAACCATCTCAACGAATATTTTTGGCTTTTATTAGATTTACGAATTATACCCAGCGTTATAAATTTTCTTTTGTCCTTTGCAGCCTTTCATATTGGGCTGCGCGCGCGTACGCGTTAGGAACCTTGCTAAGGCAACGAAGGAGCCCTAAATTCAACGAGTGTATTGTTTTCCGTTTTCACACAATTTTTTTTTTCTGTATTTTAAAAAATCTTTTTCTTTCACGCTTTTCCAGATTTTCATAATACGCAGGCACAAATAAAAATGTTGTGTTTGCAAGTTTTTCTTGAAGAAAGAGACCCGGTACCTGTATGATTCTCCTTCAACGCCGTCTACCCTTTCGCGCGGCTTGATCGTTTCCTTACTAGATTAATTAGCTCAAGTAGTACACTTTATTTAACAGCACGTTACGCGTCGATACAAAAGACCATAAAGCACAAAAGTTACGCATAGAAGCTTGTGCCATAAAGCTTATATTGTAATTGAACTGCTCTCAGCTATGGTATTTTATAGCGAAACCAAAATTACGAGCAGAGAAAGAATAGTTTTTTTTTTTTTTTAAACCCGTGAATATACTGATACAAATTTCAAAACGTTCTTACAGGATGGTTATCGATAATGTAAAAACTGAGGAAATCTACACGATTATACGCATGATTCACCTCGAAGAATTAGTAATCATATAATTCTCCGTGGAGTTTTACAACACAATAGTATAATAAATATTCAGGAAAAAGCTCTAAAAAGATATATATATATATATGTATATATATATATGTATATATAAATATAAAATAATACCCTTTTTTACACCAACAAATTTCTAAATTTTTTTTTTTTTAAAGAAAACGTAAGCACGATCGAACAAAGTATACAACGTTCGTAAAGTTCAGTATTCGTTAACAGACAAAACAGCTATTTGTATACAAAACTTTGAAATAATTTCATATCACAGCACTAGCTATAAATACAACGTTGAGAAGAGAGCTGAATACGAGAGTCGAGCCGGTATATCGTTAGAAGAAAAGAGAGAAAACACACCGAACAAAAACACGTTACGTAAAATAAATCGTTATTTCACTGCGAGAATCACGGGACCGAGGCTCCATCTTCCCTATTCTTTTCTATTAATATTTTCACTACAGAGAGCTTATTATGCTACGTATCGAAGTGTTGGATTGAAAATATATCCACAATAGAACGGAAAGGAAACGCGTGTTTCTTCTTTTCTTTGACAGTAAAACTGAAAAATCGCTAAAGATTAGGGTGCGCATGAAAATATGTCGCTTCTTCCTTATCACATGTGCATCAGAATTATCGCACTCGCTCGTCTCGAGAATCTTTTATCGTACCGTTCTTTGTCCCTTTGTAAACGATAAATAATCCACGACTTGTTACACGTTGATCATCGTTACGTCATGTTCGTTTCGATTTTCTTTCCTCTTCCCTTGATCCTCCTCCACCAATTTCTCTTTCACCCTCTTCGCTTCTTCTTTTAACATATACATACGTACGCGTATTGTGCTCGCCGCATCGCGTATGTACATGTAAGAACGAATCGTTCTCCCGATGATCGACTGGGCCGTGTTCGATAATCGAAACGGATCAGCCGTCCATCCGCGATGATAGCGTCGATGACAACGAAGGGTACGGATGATGTACCAAGGCCGGAATTCCAGTTGCGTCAGACTGCTGACTGGTTGAAACCGAGCATGAAATGGAGTGTTGCTATTTCTTGGTCGGCGTGCCTCGTTGCGTCAAACCTTCGAATCGCTTGAACGTGTAATTAATGAATACCCAATCCTTGTATATTACCTCTCCGTCTTGAGGCATCGGGGCGGATGCTGTAACGGATTAAAAATAAACAAACATTCTTACGATCATCCGCAGCTGTAGAAGAAGAAACGAACACTCTATCGATACGTACGGATTTCCAATTTCACGTCAGGAAATTCGTCGAAATTGGAGGTGTCGTCGATCGAACGCACTTCGACGGGTATCGCGGCTGGTCTCTCTCTGATGTGTTCCCAATCGACTCCACGGAAGAACGGGGCCAATTTAAGCTCTTCGATACCTCTTTGCGCGCCTGAAACAAACGGGATCATGCAAATTATTATTTGTTACGAAACGATTGTTCAACGCTTCGAACGTGATCGAGATATCAACCTAATCTTCTGTCAGCCTCGCAGCAGAATCTGATTATAGTGTCCTTAGCTTCTTCGCTGATGGGAACTTCCGGTGGGAACACCAAAGTTTCTCTCCAGTTCATCACTTTCCTGTAAGTTTCCTGAGGATTTTCACTGCAAAACGGAGGATATCCTGAAAAGAAATCGAAAACGATCGATCAGTTTCCTGTCCGCGAACACGTTAAAGAACTTCAGCGTTGTATCAAGATTTCGTGATGGAAGAAATATCGATTAGCAACGAGAGGCCTCGATACAATACCTATGAGCATTTCGTACATGATAACCCCCAAGGACCAACAGTCGCAGGCAGGACCGTAACCAGTTTGCAAAAATACTTCTGGAGCTATGTAGTCCGGCGTTCCCACTGTGCTGTACGCCAACGCTCTTCGGTTTCTTTTCCAACTTTCGGCTCTCCTTTTGCTATCCATCGCTCCACCGCTTCCGCTTCCGCAGGACGTCACTAAAGGAAAACGATCAAGGTTTGATTGTTTTCGAAACTTCACCAGCCGGATCGTTGTTTCGAACACGGTACGTGGCTTTCGGATATAAGACATTGGATCACCGAGTCATTCGACCCTGAAGAAGCTAACTGTAATTTTAGCGCAACATGTTGGAACACAAAAGGAAAAGAAGGACAGGATTTACACGGACATCAGGAAGTTAGTTTGAAACAACGGTTCAATTTGACGATTACTCACTGAAATCGGATGGTTTCGCTTGACTGAGGTCTCTGTAGAAATCGGTTCTATGAGATTTCTTCAAACCCGTGCAAAGCCCGAAATCGGAAAGCTTTATGTGACCCCGTGCGTCCAGCAACAGATTGTCCGGTTTGATATCTCTGAAGAGAAATTGTTAGTGAACGATCTATATAAATATTTTACGCCTCGACTTCGTTTACTACCGTGTAATTTACCTGTGAATGAATCCTAGCTTATGAATAGAATCGATCGCTAATGCCGTTTCGGAAATGTAAAACTGTGTACACTCTTCGGAAAGCGTGTCTTTCTTCATCAGCAACGTCATCATATCACCTGTTACGATATACGATCATACATTTATCGATGATCTTTCGAGGAAGGAGAACTGTGAGAGGAAACAACTTACCGCCTGGAAGAAATTCCATTATTAAATAGAGATTAATGGGATCTTGAAAGCTATAATACATTTTGACGACCCATTGATGATCCGCTTCCACCAACACGTCTCTTTCGGCCCTGACGTGCGCGACTTGTTCCTTTTCGAGCATATCGGCTTTTCGAAGGATTTTCATCGCGTACACATGACCGGTGTCCTTTTTCTGCACCAGTCTCACCTATTCGAATGAAACGCGGTCTTAACTTATTCGGAATCGAACTTTATTCGCCGGAAATTTACCTCTCCGAAAGCGCCTCTACCAATGACTTTGAGAGGCTCGAAATCCTCGACGCCGAGACGGGAGCGTTTCAATCGAAGAAATTCGGTCTCTTTCTGAGCATGCTGCAACCGTTTCTCTTGCTTCTGCTGCTCCGACAGTCCCTCGTCTTTCAACGACTCCTCTAATTTAGCCAGCCTCTGTTTTCGCTCGATGTGCTGAGCTATTAGATTACTGTAGTAATTCTCCAACGTTACCTACGGATCGAAACGAGCAGACATTGATGAAAACAGAGATGTTAGAAGGGAAAGGAAGGGTGAGATAGCTATGAAACTCACCTTGGCCTTTGTAGCCTTGTCCAACGTGTGGCCGCTGAAACGGATCGTGCTCTCTGTGGCTGCCATCTCCAACACCCCTGTAACATACGCAAAAGGAGGTCACCGAGTGTCGCACACCAGTCTCCAGAAGCGAGCTCTCGTGTCATGACAATGACACAGATCCTTCCGCCTTCGAATTTCTCGATCCGATTCAAAATTCCCAATGACGAAGCTTCTCACCTCGGTTTCCCTTATTTTTCTGCTTATTTCTAGCAAATATTTGCGGTATATTTAGAAAATCGCGAAAAACAATTCCTAACTGCGTATCGTTTGAGAAATTCTTCCTGAGCTATGATTGATGTCATCGCGTTTCATCGTTCGATAAATCATCGTTCGTAATATAAACAATAAATCGAAGCGATAGAGATAGAATCACGGATTTTGAAATATGTTTTTCTTAACGAAAGTTTTCGTAACGATTTTCCTTGTTTCCGTGACTGTTCGACTTCCACGCGAGCATACTTTGATGTAAATTAATTTCCATGCACTGACATGTTATCGCGCGATCCATATAAACGTGACGATCGAGTTCAAAGAGCCAAGTAAGCTTGCTGCGTTCGATTGACTTTCATTGTAGCGTTTATTACTAAAATTAGAACTGCGTTGGAAATACAAGGAAAGACTCAGCACAGTGATAACTGGCAGACAGCAAACGAGTTGAGGATGTGACAAATGGAATAGGTAGATAATAGAGGGTTAAGATCAATTTCGTCGAGCAGCGGAACAGGGTGTCGAAAACGGCGTTAACTTGGACGTTGTTTTGCGTGGAGGAAAGGTCCACCAACCTTGGAGTTTATTAAATAATGGCTGCGGTGAACGATCGTGCAACGCTCGGATGTCGTTGCAATCTTTTCGTCCACAGAAAGGTTCGACTGAAAAATCAAATGCAACACGGGTATTGTACGTAGGTATTTTCAGTGTGACAGTGAACGCGTTAACGGGACTCATTTAACATAATTTTACAGACAACGATCTCGCCCAATTATAAATAATTCTCTTTAAACGACTAAAAGTACGATGAGTCAGACGGTCTTCGTACACCTCGTTACAGTGTGTTTATTTAGAAATATTTATTGTCGAAACAATATCTAAGCAATCGACAAAAGTGAAAGGAAAGTTGAATTATCGCTAATTAAAACGGTATCGTTAATAAATTGACTGGTGTACCGAGAGTTTTTTTTTTGAAAAAATCGAAAGTTACTCTACCTAGAGGGATTTTCAGCGAAGTTGGCGTGTCGGTGAAAGCAGTTGAGGGGGATTGACGAGGAGGCGATTGCTGGCGCGAACGCGGGTGGTTCGTTAGCGAGCCGAAATCGATAAGAATCGTTAGGAATCGATCGTGAGAAACGGTGGTTCACTGGATAGATTCGGCGGGCTCGCGTGCGACTTTCCGACGAGCTCGTCCTCAAGGTATGCGTATTTCGTGATCCTCGCGGAACTAGGGAGTAGGTACAATGACGTCAGGCGCTGATTACATTACGGACTACAAGGCCGCATTAAACTATTCTAGAAGCCGTACTTTGCGCGTCTCTTGCGTTCAGTCTGCAAATAAAGGGTAACGTAAGACACGCGACCATCACAACCACGCTTTTTCGCGCTCGGTACCGTGTTTCTCGCGTTTCCATCGTTGTTCATCCCATACCGCCTCCAGGGCTCTCGATCCCCTTGCCTTAGAATCTGTTTTAGCCATCGAAATTTCATGGATGATTCACGAAATAAACAACACGGTGATAACCGAAACATCAATGTTTCTTATCATTGATCGTACGACTTCCCTTCGACACCGATTACGTAAACTGCGCTCGAATCGCGCAACAATCGCGAACGTTTTATTCGTTGTATGGTATGCGCGACGCTGTTACGTTAGTAATCGCCGTTCTCTCGTTTTTGCATCGCAAATTTGTCGAAAATGTCCACGTCGTTTCAGTTCATCTTAATTTCTCGGAACGATACCAGTTTCTAAGATTCGCTACAGGCACGTAAGCGTGTAACAGAAACGCGTTTGCAAAGAATCATATCACGTTATATGCTAAAGCGAGGAAAATAAAAGCTACGAGGCGGCAAAGATGAAACGGAATCGCGACAAAAACTGGCACACGATAAATGGTAAGAACATGGACGCGTTTACAACGCCGTTGAACTTCGACTAGAAATCGTGTGAAAGTGAAAACGACCATTGCATCGCGTCACGACGTCCTCCGATGTAAAGCGGACTCGGAAAACTCGAGCATGTCTCGTTTCATTTGTTCCCGCGATTAAGCATTGACTTTTGATCGAGAGAGCATAATGTACAAAGAGGTGGAAAAAATCGTATACGCAGCAGGTCAGAAAGCAGTAACGAACAGTCCGCGATAACGAGCAGAAATGACGCGTCAGCCGCACCTACGTGGTCGCGATCCTATCGTATAATCCAAGTTTCATACTGCCTGTTCCTATACGTACACTGTACACGTATCGAAGGAATATTTTGCAACCACGAAGACCCGTCGTGTTTCTCCTTCCTAGACTAGTCGCGTTTAATCAACTACATAAAACAGGATTTTGATTTTATTACGTTGCCATCGAGAGGTGAAATATCGACGATCGATCGCGCAATTTCAAATCATGCTGTAAACGCTTTTGTTCCATTGTTAGCAATTGGAAAGAATCGAACGCGGCGAGCGAACGTGGACGGTCCGAGAGAAAGGTGAAAGGAGAAAAGGAACGTGCATCCTATGCAATTATGTGCACACAATTGTTTGCACTTTTTTCAAACAGCGATTGGAACGTATCGGTACTCGTCGTATAACGATTATTAAATTGGAAAAATCTGCACCTGCGACAATTCGTTTTCGAGTACCTAGAGGAAGTCGTACCTATATCGCGTGTTACGCGCGACCATCGGGAGTGCATGAGTCACTTATGCGCGTAGGCGGTTGATGGTATAACACGGTTATCGGTGCGAGCACTTTTAGGAATTATTTACGTTCAAGGGACCGTGTAAATAACGAACAGCGACCATCTTGTTGTCCGTCACACGATGGGAAACCATCTTCCAACGCCCTGCACGCCTATCGTACCAGAGTTTCTTTTTTAATCAAGCTAGAATAATAACTGTATTTTTCACGAAGAGTAAGAAAATTACTACCTACAGCTGGTACAAACTTTCGAATGTTCGTGGGACATATTTAATTCAGAATATACTACTCGTTATTTCTACCTGAATAGCGTACGAAGGTGGACAAAGGTGGTTGAAAAGAAAAGACCGCTAGAAAGAATGATTTATTACGAACAATGCATTCTTGTGCATTCTGAAACGTTGATAGCATCGAACGTAGTAAAACCTATGAACCATGAAAAAAGTCATTCTTTGAAGGCATCGAGTAAAAGCACTTACCGAAAGATTTCTCTGAAGGAAATACATGACATTAGCATACGTCGCGTACAAGATAAACAAACTCTACTCGGTTTTTGTTACACGTGCAAAGAAGAGAACGGAGCTCTGCTTGAAAAATGACTCAGTTAAGAGGTTTAAGAATATACGCAATTGAATGAGTCAGAAAGATTGGGAAGGTACATACGTCAGTAGACGAAGATGATTGAAAAGTATAAAATGTTTCATGATATGTATCATTTGAAACGGGGCTTACATTACTGTGAAAAAATTAGAGTATTAAGTAAAAGATTGACCCTCTTTATAAAAAGAATAACAAAAAGTTAGAAAAGGTGAATTTTTATTGGACTTTTCAGACGATGGTTATCACGGTATGCCACATCAAGCGTCCCTGGAACCACCTTTAAGGAAAAAAGAGCGAACCTTTTCGCCATCAGATTTCTTGTCAAAAATGAGGAATAATTTCTCTACCATTTTTCAAAAAATAAATCACTGGTTCAAGTATTATTTGAAACGGTACTTATCGCGACACTCTGTACACGTGATAAATGGTCAGTTTTCGTGTGGAACGGAAGGTGGTTATTTAAACGAGAAGTTCGATCGACCGGTCGACCTGTAACTAATCGATTCGTATAATCCAGGTAATCCTGGCGTGCTCCGCGAATTTTCAACGGTAGATTCGCGATTTCAAAAGTGGCACGTACGCATGAATCCCGAAAACGCGACGAGTTACATTTTAGGGTAACGCGCGGTGTTTCGTTACGTCACGCGTCAATTTTGTCCGAGGACGGCGCAAAAAGCACGACCGATCGATTCCGCTCGAACCTAGCAACGCGGGCAATAGTCTGCTCGCGAAAAGTACGATAACAGGGAGGAAAGGAATGGGAGACGATCGCGATCCGTTCGTTTTTTCCACGATAACGGAGAGCACGAGCCACGTTGCTTACGATAACCTCGTGCGAGCAAGGAACCTTAACGACTAACGCCACCGGTTGCCACGGATCTGAAAAGCGGCGCCTAAATTTATCTCGAGGATACACGCGACCGTCGAGTGCAACGCCGATCGATACGTGCTGGCCAGTAAATTCGAGAAAATCTCGCAAACATTCGAATCTCCCTTTTATCCTTTTGCAACACGATCTTCCGTAAATGTAAACGAAAGTGTATTTCATTTTCCCAATAACGAAATCTGATAATTTCTTCGATGCGAAAGAAACTGGTCGTTTAGGAAAGCGAAGTTCCATTGGAAACTTTCGTTCTAGCGAGTATCTCACGGTCAAATACGGCTTGTCGTCGCGAATCGATATGGAATCGGTTGCTTTTAGAAGGAGAAACCGTATCTTACCAAATATAACGCGTGTAAAATAACACATTTCGAATCTTGCTTCTTTCTTTCAACATACATATTTTCCACGCAGACGATTTCGATAAGTATTTTGAACTTTCCAGGAAAACGTGTCTTGAAACAAAAGAAACAGTTTGATATAGGGAAAGTGTAAGTACGGTTCGAATGGAAGTGTAAACGATATCGACATCGTTTTCCTTATTGCGTTCGATTCGATATCATGAACCGAGTAAACAGCGATTCTCATTCAATCATAGGAACACACGTCCGCGATAACGGAAGAGATAGTTCCATTCGCTTCAACGCAAAGTAACTCTTTT